GGGCGCCGAAGAATATGCAAATGCCATGACATCCCCTCCGACAGCCGACTTCGTCAACATTGCCAACGAAACAAAGGCGGCGAAACTTTTCGCTCCGTGCATGGTAGGTCCCATCGAAGGCCAATTTTTGAAGATGGTCGCACAAAGTAAGAGTGACAAGAGGATTCTTGACATTGGAACATTCACCGGATACCCCGCACTGGCTTTTGCAGATAGAATTCCTTCAATTGGAGAAGTCGTCACGATTGAAGCAGACAACGCTGCAGCTGCTGTTGCTCGAAAATGCTTTAAGAGTGCCCAGAATGGCTACAAAGTGAAGCTGCTTGAGACAGATGCGAGGAAGGCAGTAACCGACATGGTCCATACTGGAGAGCAATTTGATATCGTATTTTTGGATGCAGATAAGACCAACTACAGGCATTATTACGAAGCAGCTTTGAACTTGCTCAACGAGGACGACCTCATCATGGCTGGTAACGCGTTATGCTCCCTTGTTTACGAAGAAAACGATCCTGTCCGTCAAAGTTTGCATGAGTTTGCGCAGTTTGTGAGAAATGATAAGCGTGTAGAACAACTGATGTTGACTGTTCGCGAAGGTGTGCTCCTCGTCCGGAAAGTGTGAAAGTGCGATTTTCGGTAGTAGTACTTGTTGTAGAACGAAAACTTTACTCCGAAAATATTGAAAGGATTCGTTGATACACGGTTCCGTCTCCCGTGTGATGTAAAGTCAAAATATGGAAGAAGATGGGCAGAAGAGAGATCCTTCCAATGCTGATGATGCTGATGATGCTGATGTGCAGATGACGAAAGAATCAGAGGACCAACCGGATGTGCAACTTAAAAGAACTGAAGACTGCACCTAAGGCGGTAGCCCCTATCATTCCTTCACAGACAACGTCTGCGATGCTACCGCGACTCCAGATATTCCGATGACATCCAACGAGGATGTCAGAACGGAGGGCGATACCGGAGAAGCGATGCAAGACGCGTCGGAAGGTCCAGATGTCGTCGAGCCAAGCGTGGATCCGACGACAAGTACGGGCGACTGGCGTGCTACAACTAGAAGGCACGAGGCAGCGAGGAGGATCTGGATTTGTACTGCGATTGGTATGGGCGCAGCGTGTTGCTCACGCCGGAAGACATGGTCCGAAGCGGGGGGAAGGGGTGCGTTGAGTTTGACGTTGCGACGAGCCATTATGTTTTCTGAAGACAAGAATGTCGTCATGGGAATGCTACTGTCGAACAGAGGGAGCCCGCGAAGGCGATGGCATCGATGATGCATTATCATCAAATATTATGTTGGGGACGAGCGGTGTAGGTCGGTGGCGGGTTCGGGCGGAGGATGTCTGGAGGTTGGTAGCGTGCAGTGATGTAGATAGTAGGCGGTGATGCAGATAGTAGAACGATGTAAATGGGAGCGGTTAAGAAGCACTCCGAGCTCGCATTGCACTGCATTTACATACATATTGGACGCAAAAGAGAACAAGTGCAGGCCCGAAACGCTGGTTCCAAAACGGGGTTTCCAATGCTGTTTAGGATGTCGGATCGGAGGGTAATTCCAGGGTGGCTGGCATGCACTCATATTGCGCTTTCATTGGGCAAGGTGAGTGCGCGTCACGTGCTCTACAGTACATGGCACCAATAAGCAAATTGCCCTCAAATTACGCTCCAAAATGTTTTGATTTTTCTACTAGGGTGGAAGGAGACGGGGCATGAACGGCCCTGAGTTTGGCAACCCAGGCTACAGTATTGGAAGTTCATGCTGGATCTAACCATCCTGATTGGGTAAATATTATGCAATGGAGTGGCTGTGGTTGCATTTGAGACAGGCGCCTTTTGGTTGGAGGATCCTGAGCCATAAATGCAGGACCTCGTGCAGCAAGATGCGGATGTTGTCGACACGATCGACACCAGGATGGAAGTGTCCGGCAACTTATTTTACCTTCCCCCGACCCTGGCCACTAGCAGGATGTAGCTCGAATGGCCCAGCCGCTATCTCCAGACAGTTCCGTAGCTATCAGAGTCGCTCCGCTTCCCCCACGTAAGGCCGCTTCGCCACCGTACCGCCCTTTCACAATGCACCTTATCCCGCCCTCCGTCTCTGCTCTGGCCCGCCCCTCCCACAATCAAACGCCTTCTTTTCCAGGCTTTTAGAAACTTCCGTTTCTAATCTCATCTCCCCAAACACACCGCTCCTCCCTCCCTCACCCCAACACCCCCCTCCATCACGCCATCCCAACCGCCTCTTCTCTCACTGCTCTCCAACGGCTCCAAGCTCCCTCCCTGCCCTCTCCCCGGCGAACCCTAGTTCTTCCTTCCAAAGAGATACCATCTCCTCAAGAGAGCTTCCCTGAAACAGCCTCTTCTGTTTTGAGCTAGCCTGGGCCGCAACTGAGCCCCATCCAGCTCGCCGTCGAATACAATCCGAAATTGTGTCACAAGAAGCAGGCTTCTGAGTTGCAAGATGAGGCCGTAGCAACACCAGGCTATCTATTTTCCATTGACACCATAATGCATCCAGGACATTGCACTCACCAGATGATACTTTCCCAATAAGAACGGAAAGGGCGGCAGAGTATCCCAAAATCGAAAACAGCTCCTTTTCGACAGACTTCAAACACGTAAACGTTCGTAAAACAGCTTCCTCAGAGTGTTTTGTAGTCATCGCTAAATCTGCTATTAGCAGTTCCTGCAAAACAGCCGTTAAAAGCGGAGATCAATATCTCGGTAGCGCCGTCACTATGGCTGACATAGTTCTCACGCCGCCCATATGAACGAAGTGCGAAAAGACATCCAACACTTCGTGAGCCCGTTTCAAAAGAGTCGACGACACAGAACTGTATTGCTGCGATAGTCCATTTTCTTTCATGCTCTGACGGCCGTATTTGAGCAGCAATGTGCTGTACACATGCAGGGCAGCGGAGAGGCGCAAGTCGGGTTCTTCGGAGAGACCAGGAAGAAGCTTTTCTAAGATTGAGGATGACAATGATGGATCCAATTTCTTTAGTAAACCTAGCCAAATTGCGTCTACCAAGGCCGAAACACCGGACACTGATGACACTTCTGGTAACAACCTGGCAGAAGTTCGCGGTACAATCCTTGAAACACCAGTCGGTAATGCCATTCTCCACATTCGCAGCAAGCTCGCAACAGCCATTGAAGCGTCCACATGACCCTGCTCCAGCCCTGCGGTTTTCGCTATTTGGACCAATGCATCTTCTAATATCTCGTCAGATACCCCCACGCTTACGTTTTCCTCATCCATTATCATGTCAGTGTTGTGAGCTTGTTGATCATGCCTTCTGGTTCTTTGGAAACTATGTCCCGCCTCACAAGTTTCTGTATTTGAGAAGTCGGCACTACGGTGGCCGCCGAGCTGTGACTTGAGCGCGAGCCATGAACACAGCCCACATTGCACGCTCTGTCGATGTTGGGGCGGTTCTCAAACTGCGTCAACGTGCACTTACCACGTCATCGGTTGGTTTGGCGCCCCTCGAAACTAGATGCGGAGCTGCCACGGAGGCTAAAAGGGCGCATCCCACACCAGCACACCCTTTTCTCGACGTAGGCGTTTGAAGATCAAAAGAAAGCAGGTCGTCCACCAGCCTATCGTCTGGTGGGGCATGCATCGGAAAGGACTGGACAATTTGGACAATAGCGTAGGCAAGATCAGTGCGCTTGCATTTTTGTCGGACGCGAGTACCCAGCAAAAAATCGACTTAGTCTTTCGCCACGCTCTTCCAGCGATAGTGCTGTTGGAAACGTCGGCCAAGGTAATAATGGCGCACACCGCTTCAAAATTGCCGTGGTCCGAATCAGACCAAGTGAGCCTCTTCAGCGCTGGTATAGGCGAGCGGAGATTGCTGGCAGCCTACATGACAACGACCGGGCCTGTGGCGCTCTCCGTGGCCGTGAGCAAGTCGACGGCGCGACGACGAAGAGGACCAATCCTGGTCGGCAGCTTGATGAGGGCACTGGCAACAGCTGAAAAGATGGCACGCGCACCTTGTTCGTGCTAGAAACGGACGCGGGTGTCGGCATCGAGCTGGCCGCCGGTGGTCGCAGAGGTTCGGTCGCGCGCGGTGTAGGTAAAAGTGCTGGGCTTGATCTCGTTGACTACGAACTGCAACTCCTCGAATGCATGCAGGGCGTCGCCGAGCTGGTGCAGAACTGTAATTCGTGAGGGATCCGCCGAGCCACAGGCGCGGGTGATCGCAGAGGCCGCGACTAGCAATTGAGGCTTGGAGCGGTAGGGCTTGCTGCGGTTCATGGATGCCTCAAATATGCTCTGACCCCTCTTAGATGCTTTAAAGCTACGCAGTTTGTGGTGGCCCTCATGCTATAAATATCTAAAAGTAATCTTTAAACCATCCAATCAGCATTTAATCATCTTTCAGGCATCCTTTGGACATCCAGTCCCTAAAGCACGTATCAGGCCGTCACCCGATCAGCATCTCCTACACATCCAGGACCCATCCAAAATATATCCAAAAATATCTAATAGACATCAAATAAACATCCCATATACATCTGCATACTTTACTGGGATATGTATCGAGAGGTATGTAACAATATACGTATCAGACCGTGTACCGACTGACATTTGTTTTGAGGCAATTTTCTTGGGTCACACTGTCTGACGGTACGGACGGAACGACGGAAAGAAACCACCTACCCACGCGCATACTACGTCTCTTTCTTGGAAGGTTCCTCAATTTTCAAGAAGATCTTTTTTGCTTCCGGACTAAGTGACCAACTGGCGCCTGAGAACTGACTGACGCTCGTCCACGCTCCGGGCGCTTGTCGGGCTTAACTTCCTCAGCCATTTAGATGGGGACAGCGAGACATCGGACCAATGACTCCACTTTATCAGTGCCCAGAATGCAGGATAAGCATTATTCGTGCGCAAGAGGAGATTCTGCGAAAGAGCAGTGAGATCTCTTTAGATGGTGGCATCAGAGTCGTCGTCGATTAGGTTTTGCCATGCCCTGTCTATTCATCCGTCCAGATCCGCCGCATGGTGATTCAAAAGAAGGAGATGAGGAGCTGCCAAAAGCTGACTTGGAGAGAATAGGGTACGGATGAAACAGTTCTCCTTGACCAGAACAAGGATGCCGAAGGCAACACAACCCCCAGCCTTCTTCAGGTCGCAGTTCATCCCTCTCATACGGCAACAGTGGAGCATGACTTTCGCTTCCTTTTCGAGTACACCAAATTACATGATTTAATCATCTTCTGGCGTTATCTCTGTACAGTGCTCCGCTACCTTGCGGGCGAGTTCCAGCCCTGCTCGACAAATATAGATATGCAAATTGGTAGTGGGAGACATCATGAGCGCGTTGTACGCTTTCCTCTCATCAGGGAACAGTCGAGGAAGATATAATTGAGTCATTGAACGGCGGCTGGATCTCATTGCAGGAATGTCGTCCATCTCTGGATCTTCATCTTCATTGCCCTCTGCAGCAAAAGCCAGATCCGCAGTGTATGCAATAATTTCAGCATTTCCGACCATCACAGTGTCATTGTCAGCACGATGCGTGCCATCCCCGCAAATGCAGTAATAGTCCCATTTCCTGGGGCTGGTGGTGGAAAACCCACGCGCGGCGCGGTGGCGCCCCTTGTGCCATGGCAGAAAGAGACGTGGTTGTCCACCTGGACGGGATCTACCGTTTGCGCACGAGCAGTTGGGGGTCAAAAATCACTGCACTGGAACCAGTAACAATTTGTGCCTCCGCATCGACATTTACATAATCTGGGCTCTTGGAAGTTCTTTGAATACGGCTCCAAAAAGATGACTTGTACCCGCCATTTCGAAACCAGTAACACGCCACTCTGGAGTACCTGGTAGCCTGACAATTTCATGGAAATCAGAAAAGCCTAAGACTGCGGATTGCAGTAGGGACGAAGGCTTTTTGAAACTGTCCTTGACCACTGAAACTTCGAGGGCGCCATACTGCTCCTGAAAACGGCGGAATGCCCCGGGCCTGTGCCTAATGCGCCATCATGCGAGCAGACGAGATCGCAGAGACCCTTCGCCGTCATCCCGCAAGAAGAGACATTCCAGCCCCAGAGCGAACACATCGGATGCATCAAGGGCTCAAGATAGGTTCTCGAGCTCTACACCCGAGGCCTAATATATCTCTCCGTCCAATCGCATCATGCGAGCCACGCTCTCAAGACTTTCGTTTGGATTGACCTCACTCCACTAAAAGGCCGTCAATACAGCCAATCTACTCATGCGATTCCTCAACTGAAAAGCGTCTGAACGCTCGAATATCCATTGCGAAAGACGGGCCGCCGGTGGCCCTTGTCCGACTCCCCATGAAGCCGGAACTGCCCCCAAACTGGGGTCAAAAGTGGAAAGCCTAGGCGCAATAGACACAGCCATGCCCGTGTCAGCGGACACAAGCCCTGGTAAAACACGGGAT